CCCATAAGGCATGGGTAATTGGCCGACCTACTATGGCATTATACGGGGAAGGGGTTGCGACCACTAAGAAATCGTGGTTGAGCCTCACTATGCTAGGCCAAGTGCCGACTTCCACGGGTACTGTAATCCTTCCCAGGGGCCTGACTTTCTCTCCGCTGAAGCTTACCAGGGGAGTGTTCGCAGGCTTTAGGTCACTTTCCTGGAGCTGCAGTTGGTCGAAGGCTGCTTTGAAGAGGATGTTCGCTGAGATGCCTGAGTCGACGAGGACGCGCCTGACTTCGAAGTCGTTGATCTTCACCTTTATGACGAGCGTGTCATCATGGGGGTAGTGGACCCCACTTTGGGGGGTTCTACTCTTCCCTGACGGCTTTGCGAGTTGATGCGTAAGCTGCAGTTGAGGTGCAGTCCACCATAATCGAGCCTCCAACTATGACGTGGATGGTCCCCCGAATCGGTCTCTCTTTGGGGGGCTGCTTTTACGGCTATTCCGCTTGTCTGCTGAACTCAGAAGCGTCCCTACTCTGCTTCCCTTGCCGACTTGCTTTATTATTATTATTATTATTACTTTGTACAAAATTTCTCAGATATCCGCGACGGATGAGTTCTTCTATCTCATTGCGGAGATTTTTACAACTTTCGGTGCTATGACTGTGATCTTCATGAAAGCTACAGTACATATTTTTATTTCTAACATTAGGGTCCGCCTTCAACTGAGGTGGCCACTTCACGTACGGGGCGTCCTTGATCGCCATGAGGATCTCAGCCCGCTTCGCGTTGAGGGGTGTATAGTCCCATTCTGCTGCTGGAGCTTGGAAAGGATGATTTGGCTTTGCCCCCCGAGCTTGGTCCTTCTTCTTCCTACTGTCGCTCTGAGCTGGGGGCTCTGGTTCCCTCTTCCTCTTCTCAAGGGTCTGTTCGCCCTTCTGGTTGATTTCCTCCTCCGTCCCTATGAACCGATCCGCGGGCTTGAGGAACTCGATCACGGTCTTGGGTTGATTGACAACTACATGTCACTTGAACTCTTTGTGGATGATACCTCGCTTGGCTGCGGTGAGGCGAACTGCGGGATCCAGGTCGGGTATCTGTAAACAAGCGTCGTTGAACCGCTTGATGTAACTCCGAATGGACTCCCCTTCCTTTTGAACTATGCCGAGGAGGCTTTCCTGAGTTCTCAGGCACCTTTTGCTGGTGACGAAGTGGGAGGTAAAAATTTGCATGAACCGTGCCCAGCTTCTCATCAAACCAGGCGTGAGGTTACGGTACCATGTGCGGGCTACCCCTTTGAAGGTGGTGGAAAAGGCCACGCACATGCAGGATTCACTGGCTCTTGCCAAGTGCATCTGAGACTGGAAGACGTCCACATGATCATTTGGATCGAAGGATCCGTCATACTTGTCCAGTGGAGGGAGCTTGAAGTCCCTTGGCATGGGGACAACAAGGAGTTCTAGAGATAATGGGGAAGAAACTGAGAGGAGAGGGGTAGCTTTCACTTCACCTGAGCATACCTCCTCTTTTCCTTTGAGCTCGGGAGAGACTCAGGTAACAGTTTGGTGAGCTCACCGGCGTCTTCGCTGCAGCTTTGCTGGCTCGGCGTTGGTGCTTGATGCTTCAGTGTCGCCGAGCTCGACGGGCTCAGACTACTGGTGGTGGCTCTGAACCGAAGGGCCCTGCCTATAGTCTGCGGCCAGGACCTCGAACGGATTCTCTGCGAGTGGGAGCTCGAATCGCGAAGGCTGGGGCGATACGGGCTTGGTTGGCTGGGAGGCCCCCGACCTGCCCACAGGCTATGAGGCGGGGGTGGCTGGCCTCTCCTTCTAGCTATGGGAAGAGGCTTGGCTCTTGAAGGGATCCTGGGCCTGGGAGGCCTCTCCCTGGCGAGGTCGTTCACTCTAGTGGGAGGGCTTGGTTTGCTTCGTGGCTGAATGCCGAGGGGGAAGCGATGGCTGGGCATGAGGCAAAGAGGGAAACTGCTGTTGATACTGGTATTGGGAAACCTGGTGCAACACTTGTTGTTGATAGAGTTGGAATTGTTAAAATTGTTGCATTTGAACTTGCATGGCTTGTATGCACTACATTAAGTCCTTCAACTGGTTCGGGTTGGCCACTGGGGGCACAACCGAGGGTTCAGCAAAGGTTGCTTCAACTGTGGAAGGGAGTGGAGCGACCGCGGGTGCCACTGTGAGAGGCACATTCAAACTGGGAACTCTGTCCACAGAGAGGGGGACAGTGAATTGCCCAATACAAACAGTAGGAAGTTGGGGCTGCTCCCCAGAAGCGTTCTGGCTGGCACCACGTCCGGCATTGCTGGAAGAAGCCATGAATGCTGAGTTTTCAGAAAAGTAAACTGTAAAAGCTTAAAGGAAGGCTTCTTGAAGCATTTCCCACAGACGACGCCAAATTATGCGGCACGATCTGAGCACTCCTAACTAGCTGTTGACTGGCTCCTTGCTGGCAACGGACAACACCTAAGAAGGAGAAGGTGAAGGATTCCTAGGGGATTTGCCCAACGGGAATACTCTGAAGTTTAAGTTAGAACGGTGGGGGAGAAAGTAAAGAGTGTAAAGAGGCTAAGAGTGTAGGTCGCGCTAGATCACTGAGTTCTCAAGATTAGCTCGAGAGCAAGTAAAATGACTCAAAATCATATTCGATTAGAGATCCCTCTCCCCTTCGGCTAAGGGGCTTTTATAGGGGCGTTCTTGTCAAATGGGGCGTAACCGCCACTGGGCTTCTGTCGTAGCCGTTACCTGCCAGGGCTGCGCAGGTGACGTTGCAGGGTACTACCCAATTGGATGGGTGACACATCCCGGGAGGACAGGCACGCCACCATCTGTCGAGAGACGTGGGTACAGTCTGTCGAATGGGCAGGGACTATACCGTCAGTCAGGAGATGTGGCGCAGTCTGTCGGCTACGGTCTTGTCAGATAGTAGCTTCCTGAGAGCATCGCATTGCTTAGTTGCAAGCTACCCTGTCGCGCAGCAAGCTATCTTGTCGTGAGCTACTTTGTAGCGAGCTCGCAGGGGTATTTCGAGGTGACCCTCATCGATATTGTCTTTGGGGCAGTCTTTTTGCCTAAGTGTTGGAGCGAGCTGGTTACCCTAGCTCGCGAGTTGGGATAGTCTTGGAGTATTCCCTTTCAGTAGCTCGGGGGACCTCAAGCTCGCGTTGTAGCGAGCTATGATGTAGCGAGTTGTCCTATAGGCTCGTTACTTAGTCGCATCAGGCTGTGGTGCTGAACTGTTGCTCGTGCTGAGTCAAGTCCACGTGTCATTGTCTCAAGGGGTCGGGTCAAATCATCCTACATGGTCTATTAAAATTTAGCCCAAAATGTTACTTGGGAAGATAGAGGTCCTCTTAGAAGAAAACCATACGTTTTTGTTTTTACTATTAGCGACCAACGATTGCTATTGTGGTCGGGAGGGTCATATGAAGGTAGAATATGGCGGCCCTATTTACTGTTATTGCAAATCCATGCCTGAGATGAAGGTAGAATTCGAGCCTTTTTTTTAATACAAATGAATATTGGTTGTTCTTTAACGTTAGATGAGATCATCGGCCACGAGCATCACTTATGGGTGGTCGTCGGTGGCTGGGAAGTTCATATGACCAGTGTATATGAAGCCAGATACGAGTGTTTTTTTTTTTTAAATACAAGCGACCACTGTCTCTTCTTTAAGGTTAGATGAGATCGCCGACCACCGGCAATCATTTATGGGTGGCCTCTGGTGGCCAAGAAGGTCATACCATCGTTGTTGATGATGCCACTGGTGGTCGAGTTTTGCATGAACCATTTGCCTGAGAAGACAACATTTCGATTGAGAATACCGGGTCCCACTACATCTTTCGTACACATTAATTAATAATCAATATTTATAAATAGTAATTAATAATATTAATAATAATCATTAATGAATAAAAAAATATTAATTAACAAATTCAAGAAATAATAATTATACTCGATTGGAAATCAATTTGCTTTACAATAATAACCACTACTACTACTACTACTACTAATAATAATAGTATTCTTTAAATAATTAATTAAATCAGTATTTTAAACGAATAATCTTAAATAAATATTTCATTGATTACTAAAAAAGTTAATAATATTATTAAATAACAAAAAAGATTAATTAGTTACTAAAATAGATTAAAAATTTGTAAATATGCTTAAGCTATTAAAAATTTATAAAATAATGAATTAGCTTAAAATGATTAAAAATTAATAAATGAATTATGAATGAAAACAATAAAAAATTAAATAAAAATGACTAAACAATTAATACAAATGTTGGAAATCAAACTTGAGTGAATTTTCCCATACTTTAGTATGGGACCATTCACTAGCTAAATCTTTGTAATTCAATTTCTCAATTCAAATATAAATATTATTGTTAAATAAATAGTGAAACTCAAATAAAATAATATTACTGTAATAAACAAAAAATGTAAAAACCAAAATGATACATACATGGAACGACTCCGGATCTCCTGACCACAAGAACTCTGCCCATGCCTACCCACAATACACTACCCTCATGAATTGAGAACATCTCCCCTTATATAATAACATGTAAACGTATGAAATGTTCTCTATGTGTGGCTATGATAAATGTGGGCAGAATTCTTGTAGATAGGAGATCTAGACTCACATATGACTCCCCGTAATAGGGTCGAATGCTAGATAAAATATGGTAAATCTCTTAAATCAAATAAAAATCTATCAAAAAATCAAATAAAAAATCTAACCTAAAATTTTAATATAAATGATTAAAAATTGAAAATTGAAAATAGTTCATATTAATGGCCTAGTAATGAATTAATGATCACCCTAATAATGCACAGTGAAAATCTGAAACATGAAGATTATCCAGGTCGATATTTCTCGACTTGACGTGTATTGTTCTCAGTGGATTCTAAGATTCGAGTCCAATAACCGTCTGTCTGACACCTGGTAGACCCCCTTAAAAAGAAGGCTTCTCAAAGTTCCAATTTCCAACTCCAGAGAAGAGCTGACTCGCTAGAAGGATAACGAGTTGTTTGTTGTTCTGCCTCTGAAGCTCCCCTCCCGGCTCTCGCCATGGGCACCCTCACTGACATTCATCCTTTCACAAGCTGCTATAATTTTATTACCACACATTCTCGTCAGAATTCCTGTAGAGGTAGAGGTAGAGCGCCAACCTTACTCAATCCCCGGCCAAGGCCAAGCATTTCTTTGTTTCCTCTCACGCACAAACCTTCCAAACACCATGTGGCGGATTACAGTGTCTCGAGAATACGGTGCTCCATCGCCAAGGAATCCACCGTTTCACCGTCGAATGTCGATGAAGACAATTCGAACGGTTATTCCGTCGACTGTGTCATCGTTGGTGCTGGAATTAGCGGTCTCTGCATCGCGCAAGCTCTTGAGACGAAACACGGAGAAATTGCAGGGAAGGTTCTGGTGACAGAAGCGAGAGATCGCGTTGGAGGAAACATCACGACGATGGAGAGGGATGGATATCTCTGGGAAGAAGGTCCCAACAGTTTCCAGCCGTCCGATCCTATTCTAACCATGGTGGTGCGTATTAAAACTAGGGTTTTTACTTCTTTCTCCCCATTCGTGCTTTACATTCTTTGGTTTTGCTGATTTGAAGCTTAATTCCGTGATCAATGTACAACTATATTAATACAAAACACATTTCTGCTTAAGGGGGTCGGCATTTTTGAATCTGTTAAGTTTCAAACTCTCAGTTATATTTTTGGCTCTTTACGATTAACACCTTGCTGTAGTTGGATTACCTGTCAATCTCCAACAGTTGAAAAGAGGTAAGAAGAAGAAGACGAGAACCCTGATTTTGCTTGTAAAGGCTGAACACATTCACCTTTGCATATTTGGGTTCAATTTTGCCGTGTACATTTGTTCGTTACCTTTTATGAGACGTATATACGCATTTCTGTTATGGTAGTCTCACTAGATGTAGATTGTGCTTCCCTATATTCACACTATATGGGGGACATGCAATTTAACGATGGATATGGCTTTAAACCGAACGGAAATGGCGAGACAGGATTAATGTAGCCGATCCCATATAGTTATTGGATGATGGTGATGATAGGGGACATTGCAATGGTGCAAAGTCAAAGCCACTTGTTGTGCCATAAGTGATCCTAAGCTTAAAGTTGGATTTTATAGAAAACATACAAATAATACATAGGTTAAGAAAGCCAGCATAAAATGGAGAAAAAAGAGTGAGCAACACTGAGAATGCAAAGGATACTATTAAAAGCAATTGGGATCATTCCATATTTCCTGCCGGTCTTACACATGAGAGTGCTATGTGTAGTAGCACAAGATCAACATCATTTTTAGCTACAGACTACCAGTAGGTGGACTACTGCTCAAACAGTCTCATTAGTCTCATTGATGCACACATGACTTGAGTATGCTAAATGTGCTAAAGGAGTAATCTATACGCCTTGTGAGCTTGTCTTTATAGTTTAGGAGGAATATTTGAAATAAAAAACATCAAACCAACAGAGGTTAGTTAGGACAATTACTGAAGTGACCAAAATGGTAAAGGGCCTAAAGGCATTCTTTATACAGGGAAATAAGGAAAATGATAAAAAAAGAAAGTTAAATATTCCCCAATTTACTGAATGAGTTTGCAAACATGTTCAGTTCTGTTCTTAGTCCAGACATTCTTGTGCAGATGCTCTTTTCCTATTCCCAGTCATCCAGTCCTGGACTTATGTGCGCTTGATATTGGTATTGTTGACGCTAGGAGCATGACCTAATGTTCAAATTTGTTCTTATTTCAAACATTTATTTGTGTGTGAATTACCTATTCGATGAATAGTGATAGGCTGTAGACCTTATCTGCAATTTATTACACCATAATTCTATATCCTTCTTCTTTTGAATGAGTTATGCCCTTCTAATAAATATTTAATTATTTATCAATTTGAGGAATAAGTAATAACCATGTAATTATAAAAAATCTCTGTAGTTTATTTCTCCTATTCTTCTTCCTTGATTATATAAAGTGTAGTAGCTTCTTTCTCATTACAGGTGGATAGTGGTTTGAAGAATGATCTTGTTCTAGGGGACCCGAATGCACCACGTTTTGTATTGTGGGATGGAAAGTTGAGGCCTGTGCCTTCAAAGCTTACTGATCTACCTCTCTTTGATTTGATGAGCTTTCCTGGGAAACTGAGGGCTGGAATTGGTGCAATTGGCATTCGGCCTCCACCACCAGTTTGTCCTCTTAACTCTTTTCTGCAATTGCATTAGAATATCTTTGCTAGTACATTTGCACATGTGAAGAAATATATGTATATGTATACCTATATTAACTACATTCCTGGATCGGTTCTTATTTTACTTTTTGACAAAGGTGACAGGGTCATGAGGAATCAGTTGAAGAGTTTGTTCGTCGTAATCTTGGTGATGAGGTTTTTGAACGATTGATAGAACCATTTTGTTCAGGTATAATCTGCATAATAAATGGATCTTTTGAGATTTAATATATATAGTTTGTATTATTCTCTCAAGTCTCATTTTCTACTTAGGAGGTATCCATCGTTTGAGATACCAATATACTTTGTCTTTCAGCATATGTTTTCTTACCTCAGTGTCATAAATTTTGTTTTAAACAGTTATATCAGGTTTACAATGAGAAATATCTCCGTAATTTTTTATGGGAAACAGTAAATTTCATTAATAATAATGGATAAAGGTTACAACTGTCACCATCCAAAGGCCGGATGGAGAACTCTTTGACAAAATCAGTCTCACAAACAAGCCCAAAACAATTCCTGCCTATTGACTCCTTGCTTAGCTAAAGCATAAGCCATTCCATTTGCTGGTCTTCTTGCCCAATTAAATATCACTCCAATCTACCTTGCTAAGCTTGAGATTTCTCTTAGCTGTTGTCTAAAGAACCATGCACCCAAGCTTCTTGCTTGCAACCAGCCTATTACCAGTTTGAAGTCTCCCTCCACTTCTAGTTGTTGCATTCCCCATTGCTTTGCCAGTTTGAGACCTTGGAGTAAAGCAAAAACTTCTGCCCTTAAGGAGTCTTCCCACCCCTACAGGGCTTGAGTAAAGGGCTAGCACTCTACCCTCCTCATCTCTAAAAACACCCCCTATACTTGAGGGGCCTAGGTTACCTAGAGAGCTTCTGTCAAAATTCAATTTCACTCTAGAGCAAGGTGGTTGGGTCCAACTTTCTTGTACTGAAGGAGAGAAGGATGAGGAACCAGCTATGGCACTCCATCCTCTAGTGAAATCGATAAAAGAAAAGTCTTTAAAATGCTCCAAAGCTTTCATCCAATGTATGATTTTGGTGGTGATGCTCTCAATAAGTGCTTCCTTGGATCTTTCTTGTCCTTGGAAGATCCTATTATTTCTCTCCTCCCACAGCGACCAGATGACAACTGCTCTTGTTGTTTGTCACATCACCCTACCTCTTTTCTTTGGTAATTGGAAGAAACTAGAGTTGAAAAGGTTTTGCACACACAAAGGAGTCCATCTACAACCAAAGAGAGAGGGGAACCAATCCCAAATATAAGAAGTATAAGGACGAGAAATAAGTAAATGAGCCACTGTCTCACCACCAAGGTTCAAAATTTTGATATGATATGCCCTGTATTGGGTGTATCGTATCGTATCTTTTGGGTCCCAATACACCTGTTTCCAAGTGTTTCGGGACCCCACTCTTTTTCAATAAAAAAACATGTTTTTAACTCCCCAAAAACTAAATTTAAAAAAACTAAAGAAAAAGAGTTTCCATGTGTTTCTAAGTTCTAGTATGCCTTTGCCGATACACGGAGGCGTATCGAAATTTTGAACCTTGCTCACCACTCCTCAGGAAAAGACAACAAACTTGTGGGGAGAGACACAAATCTTTGCTTTTTCTTTGAAGTACGTCCAAAGTATTAACCTTTTGGAGAACCACTTTCCAACAGAAATCCCTAACCTTTGGTGGAACAGGAGTACCCCATACTTGTTTAGTAGGGAAAGGGGTAGGCACAACATCAAGGTGAAGTAAAGCATTGAAAAACGAAGAGCAAGAAAAGACCCCTAAGGAGGACTCGGACCATACTCTATTATCTGGGCAAAACTGATCTAGAAAAACAACACTCATTAGAGAGAACAACTCATTTGTAAGGCCACCTTTGAGTCCCTCAACCCTCTCATTAGTTCCAAGTCCCAAGAAGCTTCATTCACACGAACAGAGGAGATAACCTTCAATTTATTTAAAGAAAGAAAATACATAAGCGGGAATGTGTCCTTAAGAGGAGTATTCCCAACCCAAGTGTCCTCCCAAAATTTTGTTACCTGAGCAAGTGTCATACCATATGAAAGGTTGAAAAGAAGGTAGGACTCCAATAATTGCTTTTTAGGGGGATAAGTGAGAAGCCCTAGGTTTGATACAAGCATCCCATCCATTTGCTGCCATACCGTGAATGCTTATTACCACCTGATGCCACAAGCTATCCTGCTCTAAAGGAAACCTCCATGATCACTTCCCTAACAAGGTTAAGTTTCTTAATCTAATATTACCAATGCCTAAACCCCTTCACTTTCTAGTGACAACTTCCCACTTCACTAGATGATCACTTTTTGAATTTCCCAGTTCTCAAAGAAAATCCCTCATAAGATTTCGAATTTTACTTGCAACCTTAATAGAAAGCTTGAAAGTAAACAAGAAATATATCGATAAGTTGGCCAAAGTAGACTTGATTAGAGTGATTCTACCCCCTAGTGAGATGTAATTTCTCTTCCAACTTGCTAACCTCTTTGTGAACTATTAAACAGAGAAGAGAGCGACTGAAGAGAGAAGAGGGAGGAGAGAAGAGAGTTGAGAGCCAAAGCCGCCAAATCTCATATTTATATTAGGGCGATCATAAAATAATCAGAAAATTACAATAGTACCCCTATAGTACTAATACTGACATAAATCATTACATAAACAGCCTTTTTACACTCCCCCTAAGTTGGGACATAGATGCCAATCATGCCCAACTTGTCACATAAGTCATTATGCCGCAAGTGATGTAACCCCTTTGTGAATATATCTGCAAGTTGCTTTTCAGATCAGATATAGGGTGTACACACTTCCCCTTTGACAACCTTTTCCCTGATAAAATGTTTGTCAACTTCTATGTGTTTGGTTCTATCATCTAGAAATGGGTTGGTAGCAATACTAATAGTAGCTTTATTATAACAATATAAAGTCATAGGTTCATCAACAATAAATCTTAGCTCACTCAACAAATTTTTCAACCACTCCATGAGGCATTGCCCTATATTCTGCTTCAACACTAGACCGAGCCACCACATTTTATTTTTTACTCTTCCATGTGACTAGATTACCCCCACAAAGGTACAATAGCCATTAGTAGATTTCTTGTCATTTAGCGATTCAGCCAAGTCAGCATCCATATATACCTCAACCTTCAAATGTCTATGCCTTTCAAACAACAAACCAGCACTTGGAAATTTTTTAAGATATCTGAGAACTCTTTCAGCTGTTTCAATATGGGTGGTCTTAGGGGCATGAATGATTTGACTTAAAACACCCACAACCTAAGCAATGTTTGGTCGGGTCATAAACAAATATAACAATCTTCCTATAAGCCTTTGAAACTGCTTCACATCCTTGACAACCTCACCCTAACAATCACCTAATTTGTGGTTTGGATCATGTGATGATTCGGCTTGCCTTGGAATTCTATCTGTCTAAGATCGGTTATGTAGAAAGAAGTAGAAAGGTGGAAGAAAGAGAGAAAGAGAGAAGGGAGAAAATCTGGTTCGAACT